ATCGAATCTGGGGCAAGTAACATACCGATGACAAAGAGAATGACGTATGTTGTTATGCGGTTTGACTGATAAAGTTCTTCGTAGAATATGTAGGAGCCAATATGAGCATCCAGGTTCCGCTATTGGTTATTGACCGGAGATGTGTCTCGGTCATGTCTACATAGTTCTCGAACCCGTAGGGTCCGCACGCTTACGTTCGATGACGATTTGTATTATGAGTTGTGTGTTTTCATGACCGAAGTTTGTTCGGAGTCGCGGATGAGATCACGGACATGACGAGGAGTCTCAAAATGGTCGGGAGGTAAAGATCCATATATTGTAAGGTAGTATTCGGACTTCGGAATGGTTCCGAGTGATTCGGGTATTTTTTTTGGAGTACCGAGGGGTTACCGGAACCCCCCGGGGAAGTATTGGGCCAACATGGGCCTAAGGGAGAGAGAGGGAAGCCCGCGGGGGGTGGCCGCGCCCCCCCCCCTCCTTGGGAGTCTGAATAGGACAAGGAGGAGGGGGCGGCGCCCCCCTTCCCTTCCCTCTCCCTCTCCTTCATGTTCCCTCCGGTGGAAGAAAGGAAAATGTGTGGGGGGGGGCGAATCCTACTTGGACTAGGAGTCCGAGTAGGACTCCCCCCATGGCGCGCCCCTCCTGGCCGCCGGCCTCTCTCCCCCCTCCTTTATATACGTGGCCAGGGGGGCATCCCAAAGACACAACATTTGTTTCTTAGCCGTGTGCGATGCCCCCTCCATAGTTTACTCCTCCGGTCATAGCGTCGTAGTGCTTAGGCGAAGCCCTGCACGGAGCACATCAACATCACTGTCGCCATGCCTTCGTGCTGACGAAACTCTCCCTCGACCCTCTACTGGATCAAGAGTTCGAGGGACGTCATCGAGCTAAACGTGTGCTGAACACGGAGGTGCCATACGTTCGGTACTTGGATCGGTTGGATCATGAAGACGTTCGACTACATCAACCGTGTTAACCTAACGCTTCCGCTTTCGGTCTACGAGGGTACGTGGACACACTCTCCCCGTCTCGTTGCTATGCATATCCTAGATAGATCTTGCGTGATCGTAGGAATTTTTTTGAAATTGCATGCTACGTTCCCCAGTAACAAATTGTTCATACTTAGGCATTACAACCATATTGGACTCGAAAACGAAATTGTGGCCATCTATGCATAAGAGAGAGTCGCTGACATAACATTTATTTATCATAGGGACATGTTGCATGCTCTTCATCCACATAGTATTTCCTAAAGTAAACCTCGGATCGACCATACCAACACCATGAATAAATGAATGACATGTTTCCCATCAGAACGAATGTAGTCCTTGCGACCTGATGAGAAGTAAACATTGAGAAATCAACACACACATGTATAGTATCACCTGTGTCAATTCACCAACCAGGAGAATGACATAAGGAAAGAACGGTAGGAAGTTTAGCATATCTGACATCTTTCATCTGAATATCACCAATAAAAGCATTAGCAGTCTTGCCGTTGTTTTAAGGCTAACACATGTCATAGCGGTTCTCGCAATCGGGAGACCATTGTCCTTCCTTAACATAGACATGTCATTTCATTTCTTCTTAAAGGTCTCCTTGTTTTCCGCATAAAAGATCTCCTTGTTCTTCTTGAAGTTGGCAGACTTGAGGCATTGCTCTTGCCTTCAAATTTTCCTTTACCCTAATAGTTGTTCTTGTTCTTGAATTTGTGGGATTGAAAATACTTCTTGTGTACCAAGTTGGCACTAGAGCTCGCCTCATGGAAGCGAGCATGTCTGTCTCCCTCTCCTTCTCTTCCAAATCAAGAGTGCCAATGATATTAACAACAGAAAATCATGTCTCTTGGTTTTAGAGAAGTGACAAAAAATCACCACATAGGAGGAAGCTTGGCAATGGTGCGTTTATCAATAAACTCGTCTGGCAACTCACAGTTAAAGTGCTCAAGTGACTTACCGAGTGATTGTATCTCATGAGCCTGCTCAACCACAGAGCGGTCATCTTTTAGTCACGATTCATTCCATGACATGTAATTCGCTACCTGCGTCTGAGAGACCCCAATTTTGGCCTTGAGCGCATTCCACATGTCTTTGCTGACCACAATGGTCATGAAGGGATCAACAATCTTGACGCCAAGAACACTCAAAACAACAAATCGGAAGAGAATGTATGTAAAGCTTGCTCATGTTCAAGAGTAACAGGCCCCACTGGCTTGCCCTTGGAGGCATGAAAACAATTTATGGTGCTAAGCCAAAGAACTACCCTTGCATGGCACCTCTTGTAATTCACACCCTCAATCACAGGAGCCTTGAGAGACGCAGGAAAATAAGTTGGAGAAAATTGCCTACATGCATCAGGTTTTTGGTTTGATGAATATTTGAGCAATTTTCCATTAAGCTTAATCCAAAAAGTCGGTAGATAAAACTTGATATTCATAATAGAGATGACAATATAATCAAATAACAAAGTGATCAAACTGGTCATGCAATCGAGAACATAAAGGAAAAACATCATATTCATATCGACTGCTACTGTTAATATTTCAAACATGATCCCTAACAAGGGGCGGGAACACATATGGTGCGGTGGAAGAAGAGTTAGGCATATTAGTCGCCATGTCGCTGAATGGATCGGCGGCGACTGGGAAGTAGTCGTCGCTGGGGGAGAAGTCATGTGTAGGCACGATGGAGAAGAATCCAACAATCACGCAAGAGCGCTCCCTAAAAACGTGATAGCCCATCTCCCGCACAGGACCATGGGAGGCGAGATTTTGGAGGCCAATTGTCTCACTTCGCGGTGCACACCAAGAAGTTAGATGGGAAAGTTGTAAACGAAACAAAGCTCTGGAACGAGGCAAAATGCATAGGAGCCGAGGTGAAAACGTCTACGAAAGAGAAGCAGGCTCTAATAGACAGGAAATGAAACTGAAGGGACTAACCAGGAGACAAGCAACCCAATAATTGTTAGTGCAAAATATGTTTCGACTTCCATTTTCCTACATGACAAAAAGAAACTAATGCGTACACGTGGCATAGGCCCTAGCTCCGCTCGATCACGATACACGACACGCGTGCGATGCATGGCGGTTGGCGGAGGAGGAGCATGTTTGTGTCATCTTCTCAAGCTCTTACTAGTATGTGAGTTGACCAACCTTATATGTCGGTCCAACACATCCTCCACAATCAGGATAGAACTAAACTTTCCACACACCCTTGTCATGTATGAATAGGACATATGGGCCTCTGGATTTTTCTAGGAATTACGGGAAATATTAAATAGGCTAAAGCTCAATAATTACAGCAACAGTGCCACGTTAATTGTCCATATAGACATATTTGTTAGACCACTAAACAATCTTTTCTATCAGATAGAATGAATGTGGGGCTCCTCTATTGTGTATCACGGTAGAAGAAATGGTTGAGAAATCATCTTGCTCTGTTTGCACCGCTTCTTCACCGCGACACCACGTCCAGTCAAGCTTCGTCGCAACCCGTATCATGATGTGTTTCACATTCCCACTTTCAGATACTTTTAGTACTTTTTTTGACGCATCAATGACGGGCTTACTCCTGCCTGAACCATATATTACCAAAACATTGTAACCATTACAAAGAAGAGATCATAGTTGCATTGTTGGGGCCTCCATGCCCCGTAGCAGGGACCATTTTTGCAACGGCTTGACCAGAGCACAAGGTCGGCAGCAGCAGAACGAGGGATGATGTGGATTCCTTGGGTTTCATTCCGAAAAACCTTGATGTTTCTGTTTTTCCAAATATTCAAGAGGATCCCAAAATAACCGAGGATCTGATTTTATTTGTCAGTGCTCACAAACGAAAGACACTCCAAAAAAAACATTGCTTCCTCAGATACTTGCGCCTTCCGCAGCGAGCAGGAGAGTATTGGCCATCTTCTGTTCCACTGCCAATCGCTCAAACCCCTTGGGACCAGCTGGATAGTCTACATGATACCTTTAGTACTGTAGAACGGATTTTCTTATTCTTACTATTTAGTCTCATGTAACTTCTACTCCATCCGTGACGTTTTTGAAAGTTAAAACAGCTTGCAAAAACATCTGATATTATAGGACGGAGGGAGTATGTCATTAGATTTTTATGCCAGTAAAAAAATTTCATGCTAATGTCACTTAGATGAAATTTAGATGAAATTTAGTTCATTCTAGCTAACCACCACCCTAGAAGCCTTTTCTAGCATAGCTCTGCACTCCAAATGCATGTCTTTGTTCGAAAAACAAGGGTAACCATGAAACAAATTTAGTTCATTCTAGCTAACCACCACCCTAGAAGCCTTTTCTAGCATAGCTCTGCACTCCAAATGCATGTCTTTGTTCGAAAAACAAGGGTAACCATGAAACGCTTCAGGGAAGGGAACGAGATCCTCTAACATTATGAAGGGATGGTAGGGAAGCTACAGTACCCTGACATCCCTTCTTCACATCCATATGATTAAGCCTAAAATGACTTAAACTAATTTGCAAATTACAAATCTACTGTATACATTTACAAAAATTACATACAAACAAAATTATGATGCAATAAAATTAATTTCGGATTTTATTTTTTATGAACAGTAATTGCGCACATTATCTTCGCTACAGTGCCGGTGACATCCCTTCTTCCTTTTGCACTGGGATTGCACTGTAGCTTCATGACATCCCTTCATAATGTTAGAGAATCCATTTCCGGTACGAAGGGAGAGGAGGGATATTGCCTAAGAGTTTTGTGGGCCACACAAACCTCAAGGAAACCCGAGTCGAATTTCCTCCTCCGTTGGGTCGACGGACGGTTGCCCTGCTCACATCCTTCCTACATCCATGCGCAACCATGGAAACCCTCCTGCCACCTTGGTTTATTTAAGCGCAGGAGGTGGCATGCAAAAACCGGTGAGTTTCTTTGCCCTCCTCTCTGCATTCACCCCTAGATCATTCAGCCTCCGCCGAGCCAGAACACACACCGGAGGTAGAGGGGAAACGCGCAACAGCCATGGCCTCGCTCCGCATCCTTTCAGTGATCGCCGTGGTCGCCATCTTTGCCCTCGCCGGCACCGCCGTCGCCAATGACCTCCCCGACTACATTGTTCAGGGACGGGTCTACTGCGACACGTGCCGTGCCGGGTTCGAGACAAATGTCACCGAGTACATCAAGGGTAAGCAAGGCATCTCTGACCCATATTATTACTACACATCTCTGAACCTGTGAACAGCTGAAACAGGACATGCTGCACTCAGTGGTACTTTGTTGATGGACTGCAGGTGCCAAGGTGAGGCTGGAGTGCAAGCGCTTCGGCACTGAGAAAGTTGAGCGCTCGATCGACGGTGTAACCGACGAGACTGGCACTTACAAAATCGAGCTCAAGGACAGCCATCCGGAGGATATCTGCGAGATGGTTCTTGTCCAGAGCCCCCTCGCAAACTGCAACGAGATCCAGGATCTCAGGGACCGCGCCGAGATAGTCCTCAGCAGGAACGTTGGCATCAGCGACAACATCCGCATGGCCAACCCACTCGGCTACCTCAAGGACAAGCCGCTGCCCGTCTGCCCTGACCTGCTCAAAACGTTCAACCCTACCACTGATGATGATCACTGAGCAGGCAGACCGCCAACATGGTACCACTGGAGAGGCTGCTGCACCACAACAATAAATCTGTTATCTGGCATGCAAATAGCATGGTTGTATCAGCAGAGTACAGCATCAATGCATAGCTGTATCTAATGCTACTTACAGCCTTGTGATGTACCAGATCTTGCCATCGATTCTTCTTCTGCAAGCTGTAACAAATCTTTTCAACAAAAGTCACCATCCATCTAACCTGATAGGAACAATGCCATTTCATTTCTTTCTAAATTACCAACTTCAGAAATCGCTCATGTTAGATAACGCCTTGGGTGTAATTTACACCCATGGCACTGTGTTTCTATTACATCACATAAGAGGAAGTATGAACTATTTCTATGGGGCTTATATGGCAAAGAGGATGGGAAGCTCTTGACTCTTCCCTACCACGGTTTCAGATCTCCAACAGGTCCGGCAGTCCAGTTGAGATGCTTTTCGCCGGGTGGCAAGTATACACCCTCTGGGTGTGGGAGCTTACGAGCAAGGCCATTCAAGATCTGGTGGAATGCATCTCGTGGTTGGGCTGGCTGTGGGAACAACATGGCCTGCTTCATTGATGGATTTGCGAGCAATCTTTGCTTTCTTAGAATATCCTCGATGGGCATTGATGTCAGGATTGTGTCCAACTTTGGGACATCCTTCTCCTCCAAAAAAATACCAATTTCTTCCCATGGGATAGCATCAGCAAATGGCAGCACAATATCGTCAGCTATGATGACTGGAATGCAGCCAAAGACCACAGCCTCAACCAACCTAGGGCTCCATGGTGCCCAGCCCAATGGGCACAGGCAGAAGACAGCACGCTGCATGTCTTCGTAGTAAGTCGCAGGGTGATCGGTGGAAATGTCAAACAGAGGATTGTTCTTGAAGTTCTCCCACAGGGAAGCTCGCGCACCTCTGTACAACAACACCACTGAAGTGAGTAAATAAATGGAACCAAACCATGAGGAAGAGTTCAGATTGGCCAAATTTTAGAAGCATTGGTACCTTGCATAGTAACCACCCTCAGGGTCATTTCCGGTGTCATAGAACAGACCCCTAAAGTAAACGAAGATTGACCGTGGTGTGTCCGGGGGAATAAGGTGAGCCTGCATTTTCTGAGGAGGAGCAAAGGGTGGAATGATGATAGACCCCTCCTTCAGGCAAACATGATTCTCTTGTCCAAACGTTTGCACCAATGTAGCACGTCGCAGCAATGGGAGAATGCCACGTTCAATAGCTTTTTCTTCCTGCAAATACCAGCATAACTATTACACAGAGAACTTTTGAGCAAAACGCAAAATAAAGGAAGATATATTCCTAATTACTACTCCCTCCGTCCGAAAATACTTGTCCGAGGAATGGATGTATCTAGATGTATTTTAGTTCTAGATACATCCATTCGTATCCATTTTACGACAAGTATTTCCGGACGGAGGGAGTACCTTTGTAAACAAATATAAGACGACCTTTGCAGACGTCTTATATTTGCTTACAGAGGGAGTATGACCTACTGACCTCCTTTAGTTACAAGTTGTACTAGAAGAAATAACAAAATCAGGCATAAGGAAACCCTTGGTGAACATGTGAGTCCGAGGGACTAGTGAATTCACCTGATAATGGAAGCAAGCTCCAAAATCATGTGGGACAACAAAGAAGTGATCTGCGCCATCAGTTCGGTTCCAAAAGGGCCATTTATTCGAAATATACTGGATCGAACTCCTCATCACCCGTGGTGACTTGAATGGCAAGGGAAGACCAGCAGGAGTTAGGTCACATGTAGTATAAACTGGTGTGTAGAACCAGTCAGCCTCTTTGGGTTTGAGTGTCCGCACAGCACTTGAGAGCAAGAAACGATGCATGAATATTTCCGCAGCAAACATGTGATTGAGGCACCGGGGATCCTTGGTGACCATCTTCTTGTTATACTTTCTTGGCAAGTCATATATGAAAACCTTTAACTTTCCCACAGGATTGTCTTCTAGCACATCACCAGCACTTCCTACAAGTTAAATAATCGCAAATTCAGCAAACAGATGAGCGAATTATCTGAACAAAATTTGAAGTAATTAGGTTGTGCAACATCAAAGCATACGACTATCTCTATCAAAAATTGTGAGATTATATCAAGTTTATTTAAACTACTCTACTTGAGAATGGTAAACTGAACCTTTGTGATTATAATTGATCAATTCTATTTCAACCAAATAGTGTACAGCCGCATAAACATAATCTTGGCAACAATATCCAACACGAAAGGCAGAAAAAAAAAGGCGTATCAACTGAACGGAGGAACTGAACCAGAACCAATCTGGACTCAGCGGCCCTCAAAGATGACCTAGTCCACAACTCAAAAAACAGTATAGAACCAATCATCTCCACAGATCAGAACCAAATAAACAATCATACTAACTCGCAGTTTAAAGCGTGCCAACAGGTGGAACAGGAGCGAAGAAATCCTAGTTTCTGAAAACATCAAACTTTTGAGAAGGAAGAAACAAAAAAGGAAGAGATTTGGAGATATGGCCGGACCTGAGATGCGCTCGCTGTGCTGCTGAACGGCGTGGTCGGCCTCGCCGGACTCCGTAGCGGCCGCGGCGGCCGGCGGCGTCAGGACGGACGAGAGGGCCACTGCCGCCAGGAGCAGGGCCACGGGGAGCCACACCGCCTTCGATCCCATCGTGGACGGCGCCGCCCTGCCGGGTCTCCGGCACCCAGAGCCGTGTTTAATTAACTATGAGATTGGATTTGGGAATTCGATAAAGGGAGCAGATTGGGTAGCAGAGCGAAGCAAGGAAGGAGGAGGTCAAGAAGATTTTGTTAGGACAAATGGAGATTGGAGAGAGGAGAGAGAATGGCTCGACTCTTCCCAGATAAAAAGTCTGCAGTAAGCGTACAAAACCACTTTCCTTGACCAGTTATGAAGTAAAAGATGGGGCTCAATTAGAGGTAATAATCACTGTGTTATCTGATCTCCGAAAAAATCACTGTTGTCTGTTTGGTTGAAAATCATTGTTGTTATTAATGCTGGCTTCACTTTTTTTTAGGAAATCATGATGGCTTACTTATCTAGTGCCATATAAGAAGAGGGCCCAAAAGCACTGGCACTGGATAATAAGGGTAGTCATAATACTCCATCATAAGAGCAATTTCTGAAGAAAGAAAATAAAGATTGTATGGTATCTTGTTTAAAACTTCAACAGTTTCTATGAACTAATTTGTGCGCAAACAAATAAAGATTATGTGCCAACTCAAAAGAAAAAAAGGGATACAAATGACAAGCTGAATTTAATTGTGAGCTTGAATCCAGGGCGACGTTCGCGTCACTGCCTAGACGCATAACACATCGTGAGCAATCCATCGATCCAACATGTAGTGCATCCAGCTGGCCCCGTCTAGTGAATTGTCGGATCAAGTGGGGCATCACGCTAGAGGCTCTCAGTCTCTCAGACGCTATGCCAATATATATTTCTCGTTAAATTTTGAAGGTTAATATATATATGTGTGTGTGTGTGTGTGTGTGTGTGTGACAAATTTTATCTACAAGCAGTGGTAGTTACCACCTAGTTGTTTAGCCTCCACGTGTCTCTCACCGTAGTATTAGTAATCAGCCGGTTATATAGATCTGGGTTAACTAACGGGTGCTGCAGAATCTGATAGACAACAACCTGTCTATTTTTCAAATAAAATAATCTGGCAAGTCATCGGTTGGTTCAACTCCCTCCTCAATTCCTGGCTACGTACAACTAAGTAATTATCCTTCAGATAGGCACATGAAATGTGACGCTGTTTTTTTGTTATTAGGTGTAGGCAAAAAGAAAAATAGTCTAAGTATGTACGTCATTTTCATTTGAAATAGGTACTCCAGTATAGAGTATATAGTGTGAACGTTACAACTTTTTAGATTTTATAAAAAATAATACAAATATATTGCTTTTTCGAACCGCATGGAGCATTATCCTGTATAGTTGGAGTATGGGGTATTAACATATAATTATTGTAGTATGAAGTATGGAGTGTTACAATAAAATTGGAGTATGAAGTATGGAGTATTAGCATTAAACTGGAGTAAGGAGTATAAGCATATCAAGAAAATATTTTGGCATACAACTCCGTGCTCGTCAAAAAGTAATGTTCAGTATGTAAGTACATAGTGTTCTTTTTAGTATGGAGAAAGCGTCCATACTCTTTGTTGTAGTATGGAGTATATTTACAATTTTTAGTAAGGAGTTTGTGTGTTCTTTTAATCGGAAGTATATGATTTTTTTGTTTTGAAAAAGAAACATTCATACATACTTCTCTTTGAAACTAAATATTGATTGTGCATTTATGAACATACTATGAAGCGGTGGCTTGAACATTTCTTTTAGACTTGTGGGAGTATGTAGAATATGTGTTATCAAGAGTAGTATGGAGTATATATGAAATCTGTAGTATGGAGTATATATGGAAAATGTAGTATGGAGTATTAAGAAAGTAGTATGGAGTATATGGTATTTCGCGAAGAATGGAGTATCCGATAGAAGTATTTCATAACGAATATAGTATGAAGTATCTCCTACAAGAAAGACTACATACTCCAAATACAGAAATAACCTGTAGATATTTACAGATAGTGAAGGAGGGTATTTGTTCTGTTCTCTCCACATGACCAGGTAGAATATATTTTGAACAAAAATGCGTGCATTTGTAGTGCAGAATGAATATCTATGTACATATCCTGCACGCAGTTGCATATACTAGCCAAAAGAATTTGAACAGGCAGATTCATTGACTGGTGGTGATGCATGCATTAGCATGCACGTATACAGACATATAACTCCATAATCGGCTTGATATATATACACATCGGAGTATGGAGTATATAGTACAAGCAAATCTTTGACGGGCGCTGAAGCCGGAGGAGTCGTCGGTCGGCCGTGTGCAGTCGTTTCGTCGTTGTTGCCACCGCCCACGATATTAGAAGAGTCACCCGTCAGCCGTCGGCGGTTGTTCGTCATCATGGGGCCGCCAGGTGGAATGTGCTAAGTTTATCTTCGTCGCCGTCACCGCCGTCGGAGCAGTCACCCATGGGATGTCGTATGTAGTCGTCGTCATGCCGGGGCTGAAGCAGTCAAACGATTGGACATATGCACCTGTACATGACATCGCCGCCGCCGTGCGGTGGGCACTTGCATGCAACGGGGCAAAAGATACATCAACGATCAGCCTACAGAACGTATAGATTATTAGATAAGCACTACCAATGGAATTAGGAACACGAAGCAATCAGTTTGCATGAGCATCCGCGGAAATCACAAAACCATGCGTGGATGCATACCTCCTTTTCCATGAATTACTGTTCCTGATTGATTCAGATTTGTCTCATGAAGCTTTTCCGTGAAACAAGGAGAGAGAGCGAGGATATATAGCGATGAATGGGGATAGCGCCCCAAAAATAGGAAGATAGCTGACGCCCAACAAATCGGAAGGTATCGGGTGGAACTTTGTTTTGCCCATACCCGTTAGGAATTGCACGAATCTAATGCAATCGGACGGCTTATAAGATAGAGGTAACTACCACTAGATGGTAGAATCTATTTTTCCTATATATATATATATATATATATATATATATATATATATATATATATATATATACTCAGGATGCAGAATAAGTTATTCTTCTTCTGAGGTAATCTTACGATCATTTCATAATTAAATTACATTTTGAATTCAAATAGTTACATTTCTATTGATTCACTATGTAAACTTTGGCATAAGAATAGATCAACAGGCAAGTGGCCCGTGAATTACATACAAAGTCAAGCACGAGGAATAACTTTGACATTAGGTTGTACAGGAGAGTCAGGTTTCGATCCTATGGAACTTGTGGGTTATGGGCCCACCATGTGGGTTGAAAGTAGGAAGGGTGGTGACATCTTGCACGGTCATGATAGCAAGGCATGTTAGAGGGTAGCTGGTCAGTTATGTTGACTGCATCGTTGGTACCAAGGGCGAGGGACGAAGAGAACTCTTTTCCTGCTCGTTGAACGAGGCGGACCAATAGGCAAAGTTCTCGTCCATCGGCGGCTACCGGAATGTCATCAACAATAGTAACAGGGTCTTACAGACAGAGCAGTACAACAAGGTGCTTACATAAGCAGGAGAATAATACTGCTTAGATTATATAGACCTCAAGAAAGGTTAAACCAACCAATGGAAAGGAAAATAAGATTATCAGATTAAACAGAACAATGGAAAGGAAAATGTGTTTAAACACATATATCAGGGGGTATATCCTTCCCAAGGGCAAGCAACGCATGATATTCATGACGGGATATAACATAGAAAACCCCTTTAGGAAAGGGAAGAGAAATTTTCATGACATTACCCATACAATGGTGTTTGGATAATTGATCAAGAAGCATTTAGCATTGGGCTTTAAATGTTCTTGTTGAAAATCGGAGTACCACAGACATGCTTTGAGATAGCATTGACATGGTCTTCAAGCAAAAATCGGATTTTGGATACACAAAGGATCCATCAGGATAAACTCATTAAACAGGCATTCAGTTTCCTCATGGAAAAATGATTAACCTTGTTACAAAGGAAACTATAACACTAGGTCCTCTGGTCTGGTGTGCTAGGCATGACATCACCTTACCGGGGCATATAGGGACCAATGTTATAACTCTTGAAAATATGTTCCAACCATCATATCTGACTGAGATCCACATCTGATTGGTGTCAAGATACCTTAGACTCGGGATGCCTGAGAAGAAAAGGTGCAACACAATTGACGAGTTGACATTGTAAGATTTTAAGGAAATGAACTGTGGAAGCGAGTTCCGAAACAAGAGTTCATCATTTAACCAAGGAGAGGACGATGAGGTGGCTGATGGACTTAGTGACAATTCCTCAAGATTTCCAAAAGGATGGATTTCCACAATTATATGAACAAGGGGATAACATTTGTCAGTTCAAATGATATAATGTTGTATGCTTTAGGAAAACATACACCATCAATCATTAGTTGAAAGGTGCGCCCGAAGTATGACCTTAGGCAGCAAGCTCAATGTTAGAGTGACGATTCAATAACCAACAGTCTAAGGACGAACTGTCAATCGTTAACTTCAAAGCAATAGGGTTGCTAGAAGTACAGAACTCAAACAACATCGGTAGCATATTGGTATCTTGGTTAAAAACAACATGGGAACCAAGGAAGAATGGTGATGGTGAGAAGTATCATCATACCGAGAATTTCTAAGAGGTGGAGCAATTCTCGTGACCTTCTTGTCACAAAAGATGGTAATACTCCAAGGTAGGACATACGACAAGTTGGATTACCAGGAACTCAAGGTATAACACAAAACAAGAACAAGTTTTGTGTTGGAGGGAATGCAAGAATGTTGTGGATGATAATTCAAATCATCGGGGTCAAAGGATGCTATTTCACATCATGAAATTGATTGATATCCTGGAAGAGCTCAAAATGTTGATGATGATCACGACACCTTTGTCGAGAGGTTTCATGAAGATATAATTGCTCATCGTCAACATCAAGCAAGAGGAAGGATGGAGCGAAAAGTTATTGAAACCACGGATATAACACAATCTCGGAATCAAGCTTGATGTTCAAGGCAACATGATATGACGAGGAAAGTCGACGTAAGCTTAGCCCATCGTCAAAAAAAAATT